AAAGTGAATCTATAGGTACATGATATGTCAGGTATATCAGAATTCAAGCAGTTAATTCTCTTCAACAAGCTAGATTGCCTGGAAATGCAACCATCAGTCAAGTGAAAACCCAGCAGAAAAGTTGAGAGAAATCATAGATGATACTCTCGAGTATAATAGAATATCTTGCTAAAAAACACCAGTTGTTTTTTATAAAATCTACATATTGATGGCTCAATCAAATACTGCCACAAACTAAAATACTATTATTTCGAGAAATTTCATTTTGAAATTTTGTAAGTCTCTATTATCATTATTTTGTTTTTGACATACTCTTTATATTTTATTTAAAAGCTTCGATATTTTGCTGTTAAATAAAATGAATACGATTATAAAAGTAAGTTGTTGCATAGTTGTAAAAAATTTGGGTGTTTTTGAAGAAAATAACTCGAATTGATGCAGTTTTAGACACAGTTTGTGGCTACATTTTAAATGATTTATCTTTAAGGATATTTTTGTTTGTGGTGGTATTTAAAGTAAAACCGTAATGATATTTTGCATCCATTGAACCAAAAATGTAATTGCTTTGTTTTTTGACTTGTGGCGGTTTTTGATTGAGCCATCGATATATCTACTTTGGAAATCAAGCATAAAATTTGTAAAATTCAAACAAATTTCAATACACTAACATTGGTTGTTTTATTTAAAACAACAAAGTAAGGCATATTTTTTAATTTCTATATAATTTCCTTTAATTATAGGTAAACAAGTTATCAATTTCTTTTTTATTCAATGTATTGAGAAGTAAAATCTTTTTATATAAAAATATAATTTATGCTCTTCTAATAAATTGTCATATTTAGGTTACATTATAGCACTTTATAAATATCTATGCAAAAAAAGTTAAAAGGCTTGATTTAAAAAAGATATATCTCTGCGTCTTAGGTAAGAAATCAGTGAACTTAGCTATCCTCTAGTAATCTAATATAATAATATGTACCTAGTCATTGTTGTATTCATTTATTATTTTTCACCAATCTAGTTTTATCATCGTTCACCATTTAAGGTTTTAGTGAACCTTTGCAATATTGGTACCTTATTATACTATTTAGCTAATTTTGTCCAATCATTCAGTGCTTTCTAGGTAGCTTCTTCTATCCCACATGTGTACTTGTGTTTGTGATATAAGGTGTGTTCTTTTATTCAATAATTGTTCCATCAGTGATTGATGTAATTTATCTATTCTGCAGTCATTTTATATTTGAACTCTTATATTTTAGGTTAACTAAAATGATTGATTATCCTCACCATTCGTTTATCACATATCCATCGGCTTTTAAAGCCGATGGATGCCTTGGCTCATTGGTGAATTCACCGCTGGAAAAAAGAATGATTGACACATACAATCGTCTTTCCATCACTTAATTTACGAACGGTTTGCTGCAAGCGCTGGATACAGCACTGAATAAAAGAACACACCTACACCTACCTCTACTTTTGTGCTATTGGTACTTGATTTCAAGAACATTTTAATAATAAATTTATATAAATATTTTGTTTTATTTGAAATTTTCATGTCTCGATTGAGATTTTACTATAGCCTCAATTTCAGCCTCTCTGTATTACATTACACAATGTGTGTCCACGGATGGACTTAATTATACTTGTAAAAATATTTATTTTAAATTAAAGAAAAAGTTGTTTTTCATAATTTCTCAATGTGAATCGAATTTATTTAACAAGCAAGAAATTATGAAGAATTACTTTTTTAATTTAAAATAAATATTTTCACAAGTATAGTTAAGCCCATCCGTGGACACACTGTATAATGCTGTAGATCTAATTCACATTATAACATCAATAGAACGTTTCAGAGCAACTTTCGGGGTAAGTACCGTAAAAGTGCTAGTGTGATGTTTTTCGAACTTCACTTTGTAACTTCTGTGAGATGTGCTATAAAAGTCTTGCCGCTGCGGACATTCGGTAGTTGCAGGGATATAAGGGTTACATTTACAGTACATTGCATGCGAGCTTAAAGAGCCTAAAATTGCAGCTTATTAACGTAGATGGGATGTTTTTGTGCTAGCTGGGCTATAAATATTTTATATATTTATATTGGTATTGAACACAATAACAGTAATTACTCATTTCTATAAAAAAATTCTACAAAATTGTAATTAATGGTATTACTTCATCGGGTATTGGTATTTTGCGGCAAAATATTTTGTACTGTATTTTCTGCTTTCTCCGATATGTGTGGATGAGTTTTCTATATCGCTGATATCAGACATTTTAATATTATAATTATCGAAGTTTTTAGCTATCTACGAAAATTTAATACGTTTTGACAACTAAAACAATTAGGCATTCCAACGACCTGTCAAACAATAGGTGCCAGTGGGAAATTCTTGTATATTTAAGGGGGGTAGCGACATAGTCTTGCAACTTGGACGCTATTTTTATTCGAAGTAGTACTCGCCAAGCCTGCCAATTTATGAAGAAATGTATAGATGGGTTTTTTAAATATTATTTTAATTGTGTTTGACATAAAATATTTAAATGTAATCCATTATTCATGATTTTACGTAAAGTAGATAGAATACACCATATGTCGCCACCCTTAGATATACCAAACCTGCCCACTGGTAATTCATTTGTTTGGAATGCCTAATTACACAGGAACCTAGGACAAACGTCAAACAGCATATGCTTGATTGAAAAATTGTAGGTTTCTATTGATTAAATGAAAAATCTGTATCATAATGAAACGGATTATGGGCATATAAGCGCATTATTATAATACGGTTGTAGAAAAAATATTAATTTTTATTTTATCAGTATTAACTATATTTCATTATTAAGCTATTGCACAGATTTTATCGCGGGCTTTGAGCGCGGCGACCGAATCAAGAAATTCCGTAACGAAAATAAACCTAACCCCTCGAAAAATCTAAAAACCGTAAAAGAAATTCGGTAACGAAAATAAACCTAACACCCCCCACTCCGACCGGCACAGTAGTGCGGCGTTGAAAGCCGTGCATCGTCTAACGGTGTTTGTGTGCGTACGACTAGACGTATGCGTATAGACTAGCTGCTAACTGCTCATAACTGATTCTATCTCTTTTAGACACAATTTCGGAAAAATTGAATCTGAAAATGAATAATGATCCACAAGAATCCACAACACAATATGGGACTACCATTGACGCGGTATTTTCCAGATATTTAGAGGATATCAAGTCTCAAACTTATGTTTCTTATTTCAGTTACCATGCATAAACCTATAGTTTCAATGATAAAAATTCCTGAATAACCTATACATGTATTGTAAGATAATAAAAATATTTTAAACAATTTTAACTTCTCATTTATTCAATAAAAGAAAAAAAATTGTTTTCTTATCAGTCACCACGCTCAAAAAGTGTAACTTGAATTAATATCAAAGAAAAAACTTGAATTAATATCGAAGAAAAAAAATACTGCACAAGTATTAGAAATTAAAAAAAAACCGACTTCAAAAACGTGCAGATGCCGTCACCACATCTTAACCAAATTTATATGGAACCACCCCTGAGGTACCCTCTTACTAACAAAAAAAGAATCATGAATCGGACAAGGTGGTAAAGCATTATCGCTAAACATACATAAAAAATGAAGAGTTTGAGGATTTTGTCATGGACCCAATTATTAGATTTTGACCAAATTTATATGGGATCACCCCTTTCTAACAAAAAAAGAATCACTGAAATCGGACACCGTGTTAAAAAATTATCACTGAACATACATAAAAAAAAATATCGCGACTAATTGAGAACCTCCGCCTCCTTTTTTGAAGTCGGTTAATAAATAAATAATTTTAATTGCATAAGTTGATAAAAAATGTTATGCAATAGCTTTACCGCGGCAGTCCCCGAATGCCACACGTATATTTCTTTTTACCCGTTTTTGAGTCATCGCGAAAGTTGTCAAAACGAATTCAGGGGACCCCAAAACGTAAAGATCTGTCGAAAAAATGATTTCTATACTTTGAGAGAAATAAAACTCAAAATCTATTATTATTTGTGTCATCGAAGATGACATTTAAGAGGTTGGATTCCCTTTTGAGATTCCTTTACTTTCCTTACAGGATACAGGAGAGTAAAAACATTTTTTTTAACAATATTTTAATTTTCTTTTTTGAATGTCGAGTGATCAAGACATCAAATACATACAAATCCTAATGCACTTTTACAAATGGTCAACTTATTAATTTTATATGGAATATAAATTTTTCATTTAAAAATAATTAGCAAAATACCTACCTATGACAATAAAATATAAAAAAAATTATTAACGTGAAGTTATATAAGTTCACAAATTATCAAATACTGTTCTATTATTACTATATAATTCTTAAATCGACCAAGTACAATTACATCTTTATGGTACACATCTTATAAATCTTATTATATAAAAAGATTTGGTTTTACAATCACTTAAATTTATTGTTCATAGGTTCCCTATTACCGCATAGATTTTTAACAATTTACAATCATTGTTACCTTTTTAAAAGAAGATGTATGAAGTTTCTTAAATTACATAAAGAAAACAAAATCATTTTGAGCATTATCACTTTTAACCTTTCCAATTTAATTAGAAATTCCATAATGGATAAGAATATCAGTCTTTTAACAAATTTATATTAAAAGTTGAAACATCATGAATCGGTATTAAAATAGACAATAAAATACAGCGTTTTGCTGTATGTTTGCTGTACAAAATCCAATGCTGGACAGACTTTAAAAATGCTGTACGTATAGGTCACCCTATTCTAAAAGTGAATTTATAACAAGTTATCATTTATGTTGACTTTTTAACTAAAAGAAGTGATTATTAGTGACTTAAATAATGTAAACATGTATCATTTAGAAAGTGATAAAATTAAAAAGGTGACAATAGTGTAAATTTTATTCCCATCCATTTTGTAATCAGAATAAAAAACAAATAACAACAAAAATTAATTTGACTAGATTAACACTACATTATTTCCACAACTGCTTTAAAGTCTTTTTAGATGCAAGATATTTGGTGATGTAACTTGCTGCAATAAGTCCAGTCAAAACTAAAACGATCATCAAATGATCAAAGTCTTCTTTTAGCACATCAAACGTTTTAGAGGGAGCCACTCTAGTGTAGAACATATCCAAACCATGCACTAAAATATGACTGGTGCTTTCTAGCCTAGCAGGAGCAACTTCAATACCTTTAATCCTATATAAAGTTTGATTATAATTGATGATAGCTTCAGATGATAAGGGTATTTCAGGCATATACGGAATACAACTTTCTTCAGGTCCACATGGTATATCATTGAATCTTGGCTGTAGTAAAAGCCAAGGAATCTCAATCACTGCTCCTGTAGATAGAGCAATCAATAAAAATTTATTGGTTATACCCTTTTCAGTTAAAGTAACAGCAAATTTTACAGGGTTTGCAGGTAATATGTATGACTGGGTTTGAACATGAGGTAAGACACTGACAGCATGGGAACTGAACACTGTGCTGTTACTTTGAACATGGCCTTCATATAATTCAGCAGATACTACTTCAGTTCTTCTAAATCTCTCATTAAAGTAAGAGTAAACTAACCAGTTTTCAGAGTGTACTACATGGATGGGTCCTTTTGCCCTCTTGTGGGAAGCTGAGTACATTACTAGTCCAGTAATGCCATCTACTAAATAAATACTGAGTACATGTTTGTGAATTGGATCTTCACTAACAGTAGCAACACTTATTAAATTAGGATTCACATATTTGTAGTACACTGATCTATCAGGCAGGACTCTTCCTTGAGAATGAACTCTTTCATTAGGGTGTTTCACATTTACTGATACCAATTTTGATGGATAGAACTTCATTTCCCAGGTTGGAGTTAGTTTAAAATCATCCTCTGTGCTATGATAGAAATTGAAACCTTTTAGTATTCCATTGGCACTATCACTTAGGTATATATGTGTGTGTTTGATATGTTTGAATACAAGAGATTTTGCTGATGATGGATACACTAATGCATCGTTGTTAGAAGATAAAAGTAATACAGCTTTTAACTGATTTTCGTCTTCATGAGGAAGCAAAATAGCTTGAGCAATCTTAACATTTAATTTTTCAATTCCATTTTTTGAATAACCTGTGATTGGATCAAATTGAAACACAATTGAGTCTCCTGTTATCAAATCTTCAGCTAAGAGCATACATTGTGCTGGTAATGGTGCATATCTAGCAGTTCTCTGTATGAAAAGAAGCATTTTATCCTCATCCAGAATATTAAAAGGCTTAACATTAGGTAACCTATAACTCCAGGCAATTGATCCAGAAATAGTGTCTAAAGCAAATAGTTTTCCTATTCTGGTTGCGACAACAATAAGCTTGTGAAACCCAAATTTATCTCTAACTAAACCACTATCAGAAAGCAACTGACTTCCGAAAATTAAATTGGACAACTGCTTAGCTTGAGTTGTCAATCTGTGCACTAGCATATTTATAATATTATTAGAATTAGTCTTGAATTCATTTTCAATAGATGCATCTAGTTCTGAAACTGGCAATTCAAAAAATTCAGTGGCAACTATGTCACTCAATGCTTCTTCTCTGGTCCAGTGTACCTTTCCTTCTGGCAATTTAACCAAAAGCAAAGCATTGTCAGATGTACTGAGTAACAAAAATGAGTTATGCTTTTTAGAAGAACTAGCTACAATTGTTGGGGCACCTAGTCCTACAGGATACTCTAAATCAATTCTAGATAACTCTTCACCTGTTGTATAATCTTTAGTTACTACATTGATTAATTTTTCAGGATTGCTACTAGCCTCTAGCTGATACAAAATCTGTTGTTCTTCATTTTTTGCAATAAAGGGAGTTGTTGAGATATCGTAATTTTTCACCACTAAGTTATCATTTTCAATTTCTATTAATTTAACAGTACTTCTAGATGCCAATAAGAAGGCTGGTCTATCTGAATTAACTCTCAAGATATAAACTGGTCCCAATAAATCCTCTAAGAAGCCCTGAAGTGATTTAGTATTCAATTTATCACTTTTATACAGAAAATCAATATAATATAATTGACCTGAATAATCATTACTTGAAATGCAAATGTAGTAAGACTTTGCAAATATACAATTTGAAGCATCTGTTAACCAGGGTGTTGATATTTTTGAAGTTTTACCAATCAGTTCACCAGTTGATAGATAATAAGTTGAAATTTCTAAATGGGATCCTACTATTGGAACAATGTTAACCAGTCTTCCATCTAATACTAAAAATTCTGAAATGTCCATTTTTTCTGTAGGAATAGACCATTCAGTTACCAGTGAACCAGTCATAATATCCCAACCTCGAACAATCCAACCATTAAGAGCACCATTGATTGTATATATATCTCTATCTATATATAATAATTTTACTGTGTTATCTTTGGGTGTTTCTAATACTTGTCTCCAAACTATTTGACCATTATTAGCGTTAAGACTAGCTAAAACATTTTCATCGGTAACTACTATAATTCTTTTTGATTCAAATTCAGCAAATTTTGTTTTTCCAATAAACGATCTTTTCCAATCAAATTTTCCAACTTGATCTTCATATATAGCAAACGAGTAATGTAGATGGATTATAATTAAAGTAATTTTCAATAATAATTTTTCGAATTTTGCCATTATTGCTACATCAGGCAAGTTAACCTCAAAAGAATTTCTTCTTGACTTGACACAGGACTACTTCTTCTTTATTTTTTAAATACAAATTCAGCACACAGAACTCTAAACAAAAATAAAATTGGTCGCAGTCTCGGAATAGCAAGAAGAACTTGTAAGTGTTCTGTGACTTGTATGCTCGTAATAAATCCAGAAAGGAGGAAGTAATTATATTCAATTACAAGAACTATGTAATATAAAGACTGTTTCTGTGCATTGCTGCAAGAAAATGGAAACAAAATAATCGGAATTTCAAGTCAGAAAATATATCGAAGTGGTTGTATTCATAAAAGGTAATGGTTTCGTGTTAGTTCTTTTAGAAGACATTTTTCTTCTTCTGTTTCAGTAGATAATGTCAGGGCGTGTCAAAAGTTAATTGTGTCAACAGAAAAACAAAGAAATTTTTTTATTTGTATTTAAATAGTGTTATTAATCAAAATCTGACTTTAATCCCAACTAATATAGCATTCTTTCAAACAGTGCATAAGTATAAACTTACGGCTGACATCCATTTTTTTGACAAATATTAATAAACAGCTGATTAGTGGTATTGTCAGATTGTTTATTTCCTGTTACCTCAAAATATTTTGATATCACCAAATGCTCCGTCACAATCACAAATGGTATTTATATAATGTTTTATTATAAAATAATATAAAGTGTTTTACAGGTGACGACAGATTAGTAGGATTTCAACAAAATTTTTCAAATGTCAAATAATAAAAAGTCTAGGTTGAATTATTTTTTGTGAAATTATGGCTGGAATTAGCTGTGCGCAATTTACTTTTTATACGGAATTTGACTCTGCAAATCTAGCTAAGGTAGAACAAGTTCCTAAAGTCGGTGATGTCGGTAAGTGTTTACTATTTTCTACATGATTTTATCTCACGAAACTCTCTTGCAGTCATCAAACATCCAAACAAATTTCAAGAAGTCATTGATGCTGAATTTAATATTTGGACCAAACCGGATTGTTTCGGTACAGAATATGAGAATGCCAACCGGACATGGTTTTATTTTGGAATGAAAGGTGAACTAGTCAATTTTCATTTAACACTTACAGGATGGAGGACTGGCCTTTCTGTTGTGTCTTAATTGATTATCCAAACCATGTGAAATTATAATTTCCATGCAAGAATCAATTATTTATTTTGTTACATAGTCTTTGCAAACAACTAATTTACTTAATTCTAAATTATTTATTCATGCTAAATTAGCAGAACGGGAGAAATGTATTTAAATAAACTAAAACGTCAAGTGAAAGTAAAACGATATATTTCTTTGAAAACAACATATAAAATATAGTAGGATAAATGTTCATTAACACTAGAAAAAAAATTGAGTGCTAGTTTATAACACAACTACACATTGTGCACTACATAACTAAGTTTATTCTTTCTGGTTTGTACAAATCACACATAATATCTGGTATTTGAAATATCTCTTAAAACTCTGAATAGACTGTCTTGGTTTTCCAGCATTTGTTCACTGTTAAACAAAAAAAATAAGCTACTAATGTTATGTTAATTTCACAGAGACCTAAATGATTTATTGTGTCCACTTCTGTCTTAAATTCTGTAAGGTCGCAAAGGAAATCCAAAGTTAATGTGGAAACATCTTAAATGAATAGTTGGGACAAAAAAATTCTACAAACTACATTAATAGTTTGGTGTGTGTGAAGGGACAGAATATAATTAGAATTTTGCTGTTTTAAATCAATATTACTTGGGTAGCATTTAGAATATTGTGTTAACTATTGATATAAGTGATGATGACTTTGAAGCTTGCTAGGAAACAGTTCCCTTCAACGAATCATCAATGATGAAGTTTAGAACAGTTACCCTAAGCAATTTGTATGAAGTAATTAAAACTCAAAAAAAAAGTCTAGTACAGATGAGATAGGTATTGATGTAATTAAGAATCTATTTCATGTACTTGGTTATCCATTACTTAATAAATACTAGTTTAGATAAGGGTATTGTTCCACGGAGATTTAAAACAACAATAATTACATTCCCAAAACTAGCTAATACAAACAAGGCAGATCAGTTGCGACCCATAAATATGCTTCCATTTTGTGAAAAACTTTTAGAAGTAGTTGTGTACAATCAAATCATGTATTTAATAACTTCAAATAAAATACTATGCAGTTATCAATAGGGCTCTAGGAAAGCACATTCTTGTGAGTTGACTTTACAATTAGTTGTTTCAGATATGAAAAATATTCTTGATAAACCAGGAGTTGGTATCTGCGCAGTTTTTATTGATCTTAAACGTGCATTTGAAGTGATTGACTGTAACATTTTACTTGAAAAATGAAAAAATATGGATTTAGAGAAACTGTCTTATGATTGGTTGTATAATTATTTAATAGATATCAAGTAGCTAAAATTAATAATGAAGCATCAAATCCAGAATTAAATACTTTTTGGGTGCCACATGCTTGGATCCTTACTATTCATACTTTATATAAATGACTTGGGTCAGGTTCTTAAAAAATGTAAAATACAACATTTTGCAGATTATACATTTATCTATTATGGGGATGATTTTGCTGAAGTTGCTGAGACCATCAACTGAATTGAGGTTATTAACATCTAAATTCAAACAAAATAAATTAAAAGTTAATGAGATGAAATCAAAATTTATGTTCATTGGTAACAACTTTCTATACAATAGATTTTTGAATTTAAATTTAGACATTAAAATAAATAATGAAACAGTAGAAATGGTCCAAGAAATAAAAAATTTATGAGTTGTGTTGGATAGAGAACTAAAATTTAATAAACACGTTGAGTATAGTATGTAAAAAAGTAGGAAAAAAAATAGGATTTTTACGAAGAGTTTCACCGTATCTATCAATTTCAACTAAATTGACTGTATATAATACACTTATTCTACCCCACTTTTACTATTGCTGTTCTTTAATATATACAGGATGTTCCAATTTTGATAGATTACAGGTCCTACAAAACAAAGCGATGCGAGTGATACTAGGTTGTAACAAATATACCAGTATTCAGTTTATGTTAGATGCCTTAAATTGGCTAAGTATTGAAAAACTGCTATATATGCAAACAATGGTTTTTATATTTAAAATAATAAACAATTTGTTGCCTGAATATCTTAACTGTCAACTAATCCCAGTCACAGAGATACATCAAAGAAACATAAGAGCAGCAAACTATCAAATTTTATATACAAACAACTAATAAAAGTAGTTCTATGAAAAGCTTATTTCATAAAGGGATCAATCAATTCAATCATCTGCCTCAAAATTTTAAAAATGTTCAGAATCCTAGTCAATTTAAGAAAGAACTTATTATTTATGTTAAAAATAATTTATGAATTATATAGTTGAAAATTGTTCTTTTTTTTTACTTATTTTACTTGTTATACTTTTAACCAGTCTGTTATGTTAAATATCTACATCACTGTTTCTTTTATTCTTTCGTTTTTTCTATTTTTTTTATTATATATCTTTGATAAATAAAGTTTATTATTCTGCAAAAAAAAAGAAATGTGTATGTAAATTTCATCCTCTTCGTCACAGAATTTCTCTCACTGCCGTTAATATCCATAGCATATGCTTGCTCAAACAGATACAAGAATTCAGTCTCTTCTGGTTACAGTTTTCCAGAAGTGACAATTTTATTACCAACACTAATCTTTTCACACTTTTATTAGTTTTACAATCAAGTATCTTATATTAAGTATTTCCAATTTCTAACATTTTTTTCCAGCTCCGTCACCATGTTTAAATGTGAAATTCAATATGGTTGATTTAAATCGGCAAGGAAAAATGTACAGTCAAGGTATGGCTCCTGTATATAGAATAATACCAGGTAAACCAAAGTGGGAAAGAATTTCAGATAAACCTACATATTCTGTAAGTAAATACCAAATGAAATAAATAATTACAAAAATTTTGACAAATTGACCAATTCCTCAGGTTCTTTCAACAGTTTTGTCAAAATTATGTTTATATATTCTGTACTTACTTTAACCTAAATAAAGACAAATGTATTTTAGATTCAGGATGACATATTTACATTATCATTTAAATTTCGAACCTCCGACAATACTGATGCCATAATGTATTTTGCATTCACTTACCCATTTTCGTATTCAGAATTAGAAAGAATGTTAATGAATATTGATGCAAAGTATCTAAATATACATCCTATAAGCGATGATGATATTTATTATGTAAGGGAGACAGTTACTCATTCCACTGATGGTAAACCAATTGATTTGCTTACCATAACTTCGTACCATGGGGCTTCTCAAGACAGAGAGGTCAAACTTAAAAATTTATTCAGCAAAAGTATAGTACCAAGGCCATTTAAATTTCCAGGAAAAAAGGTATGTTTGATTAAAAATGTGTTGTTGGTATTGTGTTAAAATTTACTAAGAAAGTGCAAAGTAAATAAAATATTTTTCGTACTATATAGCTTTTATTGATGTCTGTCACTGTCAAGGAAGTTTTATTTACGGCCCTTGAGAAGACAAGAAATACTTTTCTGGCCTAAAGCAAACAAGTCATTAGTTTTGTCATAATAAGAAATATTTATTTTTAAATCAAATAACATCAACATTCCTACATATTTTTGGCTGTCCGCTGAATATTTTCTTCGAAATCCATTTATAATTAAATAAAAAACAGTTTGCTTTGTTGATCGACAAATCATTGTTATTAATCACAGCAAAGGTATGTGGATATGAAAAATAAATCCGACCCTCCTCAATATTCATGATTCTACCCGCCGCTGTACATATCCCCTTTTTCCACAAAAATCGATATACAAAACTAACACCCCTTACGGCTAAAATGACACATTTGTCTACCCAATTTTGTTTTACAAAGAACGACAAACATTTTTTAACCACAATCTAACTTTGAAATACACAAATCAAGGTATTGACCCTACTAGTCTACATCTGTTTGCCATTTAAAAGTAAAACCGAAAGTGCGTTTCCTCTTTACTGAAAGGGGCAGGTACTGTTTACAGACAACCAAAACTTTACAGTTCGGCCCTTTGGCCATAAATCTAAATGACTTAATTTATTACTTGAGAGTGTTGACCGACTTTACAACAATTAATATTTATGACAACAACATCACTATCGATTCTCTAAATAGTATAATTTAGCACAATATAAAAACCCTATAATTTTTCCCACAATAAACGTTTATCAATGAATACCAAAAATATGACAATAACATACAGACGCTAATGAATATAAAAGTAATAAAGTGATACCTGTAACCCATCAATGTTAGTCTAAACTCTCCCCCGGAGTATATGAATATTAAATACTACTTTGATTACTTTAATAGGGCGATTATCGTTTTAATTCTACCTAAAAGAAACTTTACAGAATAAAAATTATACTGCTGATAAAAGCGTCTACCTGGCGCAAGTTCGTCGGGTCAGCCTTAAGGGTGACGAAATCCACTACGAATGTCGCCTAGAGTAGTACTTTTAATCATTTAGTAACACTTTATAATGTTGAATCGGAGATATAAAATATCTGGCGGTTAACTATACTAGCGTGGTCTCACCAGTATCAGTTACGCCAATATTTTAGTCGCTCGGTAGATACAACCTTACAAAACTGTTCTAGGAGCGAAATCTGGTTCTATTCAACGTGTATCTGCTTGGTCAACCTGACTATATATCTCCTTTTACTTATATATACAATATAAGAAAAAGGTGGTCATCCTAAGAACAACTGGATATCTATGCAGAAGCCGTCGTTTATAGAAACTAATTTCTCTACTCCGTCGATATCTTTTACTTCCATTCCTCAAAATATAACAAAAGCGCGGCCACCGTAAGGGTAGCGATATCTCTTTTTAATTATATTTGAAGAATATAAAGAAAAAGGAGTCACCGTAGCGGTAACGTGGATATTTGCGTTTTTTGTTACCTTGAATCGGTGAAGATGAAAAAGCTAATCGTCCAGCCCACAAAAACCGTGGTATTTATACATAAATTTCCCATATATGCAAATGTATCGGAAAGAGAACGACTGTGAATTCGGTGCATAAAGACCTTAAAGCTTTGTATTAATTCCTGAATGTAGCCCTAACGTTTTACATCTGGTTTTTTCTAGCGGCCGTTACAGTTTACACGTCGATTTCTTTTCCCAGAAGTAATTAAACGGTGCCTACGAATCGGGAGATGCTGGGCTGTTGTTTGAATTCGAAATAAAAATTTGAATATAATATGTAATATATAAGAATTATTTAAATTAATTATTAACCCCCGGTTGTCGGATTTCACACTGAATCATTTGGCCTAAAAATTATACCTGGATTTCGTGCTAAATATTGGTTTTTGTCATTTTAATAAAGTGAGGTTTATCCGCGGAACAGCGCTTTTTAAAAGACGTATTTAGAGATCTTGCTATTTAATGATTTATTATTTTATTGAATTATAATAATGTATTCAATCATTTATACTAAAAATTATACCTGGATTTTCGTGCTAAATATTGTTTTTTGTCATTTTGATAAAGTAAGGTTTAACCGCAGAGTCGAGAATTTTTAAAGACCTAAAAAACGTATTTGGAGGTCTTGCTATTTAATTATTTATTGTGTTTTTGAATGATACTAAGGTACTGCATTATTTGGCCTAAAAATTATACCTGGATTTGCGTGTTAAATATTGGTTTTTGTCATTTTGATAAAGTAAGGTTTATCCGCGGAATCGTGCATTTTTAAAGACCTAAAAAACGTATTTGGAGGTCTACTATGTAATAATTTATTATTCTTTTGAATCATAATAATGTATTGAATTATTCATACTAAAAATTATACCTGGATTTTCGTGTTAAATATTGGTTTTTGTCCTTTTGATAAAGTAAGGTTTAACCGCGGAATCTGGCATTTTTAAAGACCTAAAAAACGTATCGAGAGGTCTTGCGATGTAATGATTTATTATTCTTTTGAATCATAATAATGTATTGAATCATCCATGCTAAAAATTATACCTGGATTTTCGTGCTAAATATTGTTTTTTGTCATTTTGATAAAGTAAGGTTTAAAAATGTAATTAGAGGTCTTGCTATTTGATGATTTATTTTTTTTTTATTGATAATTGTTTATTGAATCTTTGGTATAAAAATTGTATTTAGAATCTCATGTTAAATGTTTGATTTTTGTTTTGTTTTATTGAGTATATTTATCCGCGGAAACGCTTGACTTTAAAGATCTAAAAAATATATTTAGATGTCCTGCTATATAATGATTTTTTATTTATTTTATAGCTAGTAGTGTACTAAATTATTGGTATAAAAATTGTATTTGTAATCTCGTGCTAAATGTGTTTTTTTTTGTCTGTTTGTTCTCATAGTCGTTTGACGACTAACAAAACATGCACATGACTTTATAAAGACCAAAAAATATATTTTAAATCATTGCTCGGCCATAATTTTTTGTTTAAACAATTATCAAAAACCTAATGAATATTTGGTATACAAATCGCATAGTAAATGTGTTTGTTTCGTCCCCGTCTTTGTGTAAGATTATCTTATTTTAACTAATAATTTAAAATGAATTAATCATTTTTTTTTCAATAAATACACTAATTTTTATTCATTTCTAAACTTACATGATACTAAAGTCCACCTAAACAAAATATTTTGCCGAATAACAACATCAAAACATTAAGGGACCGCCGCGCGGTTTGTCTGCTAGCTTTAGCCTCATTAAAAAATGTTACATAAGTATATTTGAATTCTACAATAAAAAAAAAGCATGAGCAACTTTTAGATATTTTTCTCATTTGAATTAAAAATTATAGTGTAGTTAATCAGACAAAAAAGATGAGTCTATTTAATATAGTTTTTTATTGCTATATTAACATCAACTTCTTGATAGTAACGAATTAGAAAGTGTTCATTATAAACACAACAACAATTTTAAATGTAGGTACTTCCTTAAAAGTTTTAATATTGCATGTAGTATGAAAAAAAAATTCAGCTATGGTTCATAAACAACTATTACAATATTCTAGATACAGACACCATTTTCATAACGTCATAGCAGGAAAATGCACTTTTGCACTTTTTTACTTAATATAAGAATACCTGGTAAACTCCCTATGGTATATATTTTTTTTGATTTTAGGTAATATTCGTATCGGCCAGGGTTCACCCTGGAGAAACGCCATCTAGTTTTGTATTCAATGGTCTCTTGAGTTTGTTGTTAAGTAGGGACGATATAATAGCTCAAACGTTACGTAAAATGTACGTATTCAAGCTGATACCTTTTTTAAATCCAGATGGTGTATCTAGAGGTCACTACAGAACTGATAGCAAGGGTGTTAATTTGAATAGGGTTTATCTAAATCCTAGTATAACTGAACATCCTTCTGTTTATGCTGCAAGATCTTTAATAAGGTAAATTTAAAAAACAGCATTTTTTCCCAAGCTAGAAATGTATGATATAAATATTTTTTAAAGGTATTACCATTTTGGTTGTGAGAAGGTTGATTTTATACCGATGTGTGACGCTTGCAAAGGCACTTCCGCCAATTCAATAGATAGTAGTGACTCTGATTATGACGACGGAGAAAAAGATGGAATACGAAAAAAAGTATCTCGCATATCGTTGGGTGAAAAGGATGACGAACAACCGCCGTGGTGTACAAAATGTAAGAGTAACATCCTTAAATTGGAAGATACCATGCCAGGCATTTCTACAATAATTCCTACTTTCAACTTAAATTCAGCAATAGGTAGGATTGTGATATTTTTAAGTGTTCCTTTAGGTGGTGGCAAAATAATTATAAACTTTCATTTTATTTTTATTATAATTTTCGTCTTCTCTACAACTTTTTATATTTTATTTCAAACAGGTGTTTTTGAAATACATGTACTTATTAAAACCGGTTACGTAGTGCATGATGTCCAAAAACGAAGGTCAATTATTTGGCCGTGAAATTCTCAAATTTCAATATTAGGAATATTCTTTCTTTTCCTACCATTATTCGACTTCAAAATCGTGCAAGATGCCATCACCACATCTTAACCAAATTTATATGGGACAACCCCTGAGCTACCCCCTTTCTAACAAAAAAAAAAAGACTCATAGAAATCGGACAAAAAGAAGAAATTTCAAATCTCGGTTATAATTTTAAAATAGCTGCCTTTAATGGACTAAGTCTAAGAGTGAGAGATACAGATTGAAGCAAAGTGCTTGATGAGCTATCCAGTGTGAATGTCGCTGTAGACAAATTTTACACTAAATGGAATGAGATTCTGTATGAGTGTGTACCTAAATACAAATTAAAACGCAGTTCATGCAATCATAAATCTTGGTTTCCATAGGAAATTAAAGACCTACTGAAAGATGAAGAAAAATGTAGAAGGCTGAGAAGTACATCATTTTTTTATGAAAATCAATATAACGAAATGAGGAAGAAAATAAAAAATTTGATTGGAGAAGAAAGAAAATTTATCAATGATATTGAAGATGGGATAGGTACAGATATAAATATATTTTGGAATTATATGAATAATAAAAAAAGTAGTAATTTCACTAATAACCATTACTTATTTAAAGGAAAAACAATTAAGTCTAATGAAACTGCAAATGCATTCGCAGAATTCTTTGCATCAGTATATTCAACTAATAAACCTTCTTATAATGTAGCTTGCGATTCTGAATATTTTACAAATACTGCTTTAAATTTAAAATTAATAACGGATTTAGAATACGAAGAAGCAATTAAAAAACTTAAACCAAAAAAAGCAGCGGAACCAGACGGCATGCCTCCATATGTTCTGAAGGCCTGTAATAAGTGGTTAAAAAGATCTTTACTTCATATCTTCAACTTAAGTATTGCAACAAATGAATTTCCACACTTATGGAAAACTGCACTAGTTTCTCCTATATTTAAAGCTGGAAATAAAATTGAAATCGAAAAATTTAGGCCCATATTACTTTTATCAGCCCGTGTTAAATTATATGAACATATGCAAGATTATATCAACATGTTGTTTAGTTTTGTAACTACAGCTTATGAAGCACTTGAAAACAAAATCCAACTTGATGTAATATTCACAGACTTTAAAAATGAATTTGATAAGGTAAATCATGATGTCCTGCTTTTAAAACTGAGTAAATTTGGTTTGACAAATAGTACTATTACACTATTTAAGAGCTACCTAGTAAATAGATATTCAATTGTTAAGCATAATGGGAACACATCGGGAAAATTTATAACATATAGTAGAGTGCCACAGGGCTCCAATTTGGGACCCCTCCTTTTTTAATTTTTATCAATGATTTGCCATCTATGCTGAGGTTTACAGACTGTCTTCTATTTGCTGATGATCTTAAAATTTTTAAAAAATACAGACTGATTGAAAAATCCTGTTATTTTCGATTATCTTATAAATGGAGAAGTAATAGAAAGACGTACAGAGGTAAAAGACATAAGTATAACCTACGATTGTGTTCTATCTTTTTCTAATCCTGTAAAAAATATAGATAAGGCTGCAAATTGAATGCTGGGGTTCATAATTAGGCAAACTAGAAGTTTTACTAACAGGGGCGGCTCGTGACCAAAATTTTGGGGGTTCACAGTAGCAGAATATAGATCCCGGTACAGATGTATGTAAAAAACAGTGTTTTAGAAAGGTATATTATAAACTTTCTAAAACACTGAAAGTTTTTTCATACATCTGTACTGATACCTATATTCTGTCACTGTGAACCACCCCACGAGCCGCCACTGTTTACTAACATAGAATCTATAAAAATTCTTTATTGTGCTCTAGTTAGACAAAAACTTGAATTTGGAGCTGAAGTATGGATGGGGGAACATCTAACTAATCTATATGAGATTGAAAAAATACAAAATACCTTCCCTTCACACCAGAAGGAGTATGATAATGTTGACTTTTTTATGTAAAATTATTAACTATAAAATTAACTCACCTGAGCTACTATACTTAATACAATTTAATGTACCTTTGAGGAGAATGAAACATCCATGTATGTTTAATATTCCTTTAGTTTTTACCACTGCCAGATCACCTCTTGTGACCATGCTCCGATTGGCAAATAATATTAACACTTGTATTGATGTAAACTGGACACTACCATTTAATATGTTTCGAAAACTTGTATTTAATTATTACATTACTCTTAATTTAAATACTGAATAAGTTGTAATATTAGTTGTAATTACCTACTGTTTATTATTAATATTATTATGAATTATGATACTTTTATCCATGTAATAAGGCCGTTGGCCTGTTTGGATACAAATAAATAAATAAACAAGGTGGTAAAGAATTATCGCTAAAATACATTTATTAGTATCCCGGGTATCTAAAAGTTCATCGGTAACATCAGTTAAATCTGTTGGGCAGCCATAACTGCTTTGAAAACCCAGCTGGTGTTGTTGCAAGAATATTAAATTTTTCACTATGCAAATTTATTTGGTTTCCTAAACTTTATAAATAGTGTAATATTTACATGTTTTTCAAAAACGCCGTATATAAATAATCTATAATGAGGCAGCATTTTTCCACAAAATAAAGAAAATACTAAATAATCAATACTACATAAACATATTTTATTAAAAATTGAAAGTGCTAGGTGCTACTAGTTTCAGGTAACTCGCTATCATCAGACCTGTAATACAAATTTGTCATCCTATTATGTATTTCCAAATTTCTATATTACAGGCCTGATGATGCCTAGTTAGCCAAAACTAGTAGTACCATAAATTTTTAATCTGGTATAGATTTAGTGTTTTATTTATTCTTGTGAATACAGTATTTGTTAATTGCCTCTTCTTCATGTAAAGTGCTATCCTCGTTATGGTTTTTGCTTCTTGTCTTTTAGGGCACAATTTCTGTCGAAATTGTGGATCGCAACTTAACCACTCAAAAAGTAGAGAAGAGATTGAATTTGAAAAGGTTGTTACAGGTGCCCATGGAGATTTAAATGCCAACGAATCTGGTCTTTACTTATACATTGATTTGCATGGGCATGCGTCCAAGAAAGGGGTGTTCATGTATGGAAATCACTTCGACGATATCGACAGGAATGTGGAATGTATGTTATTGCCCAAGTTAATGAGTTTAAATAACCATAATTTCCATTTCCACGCTTGCAATTTCACCGAGAGAAATATGTACCTGAAGTAAGTAGAAATTATTATTTATTTAATTTATAGACCGACAGTATTTATCAACCCAATTAGCTATAATAACGCATCGAAATTTATAATCATATTTACGTAAAAACAAATGTCTAGTTTTTAAGAAATCCTTCATTTAGACTTTCAATTCGGCATTTTGAAGCAAATTGGTATTGAAATACTACTGTTGTTGTGTTATAGAATAATCAAAGCAAATCAATATTAAAATTTTTATAAACAATTATCTTAAAAAATAGTAAACAATTATATACATAGGACTACTTAAATTATTAAAAGAAACATACAATTTAAAATTTAGAAAATGACATGGTTAACAAATTATGATACACCATTGTGTAGTTCAAGAATTGAGGAACTCATCAATATTGTAAAATGTGTAATTATATAGGAAGTTAATAATTTTATTCTTTATGCTGTTCCTTGAGCCGACTAAGTCAATAAGCGTTTTCATTTTATTGAAACATTTAACCCCTATATAATTGGGAGAATTCTGACTCACTTTCTGTCTTGAGAAGGTTGCATGAATGTCATCATTATGGCGAGTATTATATGAGTGAATTTCATTGTTTAAGGTGAACTAGTTTTTATTATCATACATAATAATATATAGACACTGGGCGAAAGATTACTTTCACCATGTTCCTAATGATCCTCCAATCCAGCTGATTTCCTTCTATCTTCGGCATGGCTAGTTTCTTTATATTGGACTCCAGTATATGATCCCTTAGACTGAGTAATGCCTCCCATACATCATGATAGGTGGATCGATCTCGGAAGGTGTTCTTTGTTACCAAATAGAAAAGATAACGCGATCCATCTTGAAGTTTCAATGATTTTCCAGGGGCTGGTAACTGATCTTGAAGTTCTGGCAGTCGACTAAACTTCTTCCGGAATACAGATGCCAGACCTCGAGCGTCGTAGATGTTGGCGGAAGTGCCATGGACCAGCGAGTAATCTTTAGGAACCGTGAACAGGTCTTGTTGTTGCTCGGTTGTAAAAACATGTCTTGCTTTTCCGGTACCTCCATATGCACCCATAAATTCTTCAAAGACAAGGTCAGGTGTTTCTTGGAGCTGGTTTACTTCTTCTTATAATGCGGACCTCTCAAATGGGCTACCAACGTTGTATTGCTTCATGGAAGCCTTCCTTTTCTGCTGAGGTCCATTGCTCATAGCACAGGTAGTACATTTCTTACACCAATCCTTTACATCATCGGAACTGTTCATCAAATAAAACCTTTCCCGAACTCTCTGAAGGGTTTTCCTAACACCGAGATGTCCTCCTGATGGATTGTCTTGTAACTGACGAAGTACTTAGGCTACTCTACTCCTTGGAATGACCAACTGTCTTCTGTTCTCGGAACCATCATCATTTTCAAGTACTCGCTTTAATAAGCCGTCTTCCAGGATAAAGGAGTCCCACTGAGCCCAATATGACTTAAGTACTGGAGAGAGATTAGATACTTCTTGCCAAGTAGGTCGACGATTTTCCTCTTTCCATTCTCGTATCTTCTTTAAAACGGGATCGTTCTCTTGTTCTTCCCTAATTTTAGCAGGGGCCCACTCATCGTTAACTACAGTTGTTTTTAGTAGTCCACTTTCTTTGGAGCACTCTGCTGGACACGGTCTTCTAGAAAGAAAATCGGCATTTATGTGGCTTATTCCGGCTCTATGTTCAATCTTAAAGTCGTACTCTTGAAGTCGTTCAATCCATCTGGCGATTTGACCCTCCGGGTTTTTGAACTGCATCAACCACTTAAGAGCGGCATGATCGGTACGGATTAAGAATTTCCTTCCATATAGGTATTGATAGAAGTGTTCCACGCATTTCACAACTGCCAGGAGTTCTCTTCTTCAGTTGTTCATAATTATTCGTCTCTTCCACAGATATTGTCTGAAGAATATCTAAAGCGTCTCCTCGAAGGACGATTGTCAGATTCACTGCCTTTTCGTTTTCAGACCAATTCGTTTGCTCTCGCAGCTGTCTCGAACTGTTTAAGGTAGTTGGTCCATGACATCTTTCCGTCGAAGGTTGGGGCTTTAATACGAGCAGAGTTTACAGATCCTTCCAATTTTAACTTCGACTCTACCTCATGGCACTTTATTTCACCGTCCTTGACAGGTTCTGAATGTTCCAGTTCTTCTATCTTCTTTTCCATTTCTTTTATTTTCTCCTCAACGGAAGACATTATTTTATTATCAACGGAATAAATCTTATCTTCCATAGAAGAAATTTCGCTTTTCAAAGAAGATATATCAGAAGAAACTTTAGTTTCTAAAGAAGAGATTTCGTTTTTCACGGAAGACATATGAGAAGATACCTTTTCTTCTAAGGAAAAAATATCAGACAAAACTTCACTTTCTAAGAAAGTAATGTCAGAAGAAACTTTAGTTTCTAATGAGGAATTATCATTTTTGATAGAGGATACATCTGAAGAAAATTTATTTTCTAATGAAGAAATTATAGCAGAAGATGTATCATCCGAAAATAAATAAGTTTCCGGATCCAAACCCTCATTTTCTATTGCTTCTTTAAGTCGTTCTGCCAGTTCTGCTTTCTTCCCTGTCGTCTCCAACTCGCGATCTTCTAACTCCCGACGTAGCTCGGTCACTTTTAAATCACAGTCTTTTAGCCATTATTGTCCACTATTTGTTTATAATCCCACTTCTGACACCAATGTAACGATTGTCCAATTTATTTATAGTTTATTTATTTAAAACACACTATTTACAATTTATGACGTACTATTTAATTTATATAATACTTAGTCACTAACTAACAATTCTAATTTATTTATTACACTTTAACTTTTCATTAAAATGTTCTATACTAAAGTATATACAACTGACTTCCGTGTTCACACTCGCGATATTTATATCAAGCCAACTCTGTAACCAGAATACTCGAGAAGGTGTGGAATGTCCTAGACTTCCATCTCTATGACTCAACGTCACGTACCTACCGCTTGTTCTGGTATATTCGAGAGGCGTCTGATTGTCTCTATATTGCCAGCGCGCCTCTAGACTCCATACCGCGGGAGTAAACAACAGACAGGGTAGGCTTTCGCGCGACAATATATTATCAGTAATTTTAATGACGCTACCATTTTTGTTACTTGCCATGCCACTTCATGTATTGTTAAGAACTCTTAAAATAATGAACTTAGTTTTCTATTTCACACTTCATAGACAGATGGGATTAATAGGAAAATAAAAAATCAATCTGTAACAAAATTTAAATTCTCTGGATTTTTTGGGAGATACAGTTAAATATCTCAATACCTAACGATCCCATAACTTTATTTGTGCATAATTTGAAGTTCATTTCATTCAGACAGATCACATTCTCAAGCTACTTCAAAGTTTATCAAGTCTATTGATTTTAATGAACATTGTTGCAACCGGCAAATTTTTATTATTATCTCCGGACTCCTAGGACATTTGAACAGCAAGTTTCCTATGTATTAACATTTTTGATTTAACAACCAGTTGTTCATGGCAAAATACATTTTAATCTGTATAATTTTTTAATGTTGTTAATTATTATTTTAAGATTATATTTCGTTCATATATTTCAAATAGAGTTTATTGACTATAATGTAATATGATTATTTCCACAGGGATAAGAGAGACGGAATGAGTCGAGCTGGTTCTGGAAGAGTTGCCGTGTTGTCGCTTACGGGGATTATCAAAAGTTATACGCTCGAATGTAATTATAATACTGGTCGACTGGTCAATGTTTTACCTCCTACTATTAAGGAATCACACGGAAAAGTACATACCATATGTATACCTCCGAAATATACCCCGCAAACATTTGAGGAAGTAAGAAACTTTTTCTGTTTAGAGAACTGTATAGAGAACTTACAGTAGTTACATAATTTTTATGTTCTAATCTAACTGCTTTACTGGTTGAGCAGTGACCACCCCTTTCGTTGCGTAGCCAAGAAATTTATGTCTCAGTACTTCTAAAAGGAGTGAACTAAGATAGCTTGATCGTTCAGTATCTGTCATCTCAGATTTATATAGTACTTATTTTTTTCATGTTAGGCATACGACTAGTATATAAGTTAATAAAATGCCAACAGCCAGTCGTCGACTAGAATTAAAAGATATGGTGGTGAGATATTAGCCGAACTGAATGTCAGTCACAAAGCCAGAGAGCATAGCCATAACGAGAATATCGTAGTTGCCACATGTTGGCTGTGAAAGCACGGCTATGACTAATATAAAATAATAAGTACTGTATACATTTAGCCTTTTATTTTTCTGAAAATAGTTTAAATTGTTGTGAATACAATTTTAAAAACAATAAATATTATTTTATTTCCATTCTTCAGACACTGAAAGATACATTATCTGCAAATAATGTTTTTTTATTTATTAATATACAAGCAGGTTGTCTTGTGGATTAGCAACACAAAGAAAGCAATCATTTTTAAAGGTAACTCGCATTTTACTTTCTTTGTTAATGATTTGCCCTTTAATGTGGGTTGATAGAAGCCCTATGTCGTTTTACAATATAGCTAGATTAGATTCTACTATAATCCATGATACCCTTCAGTGATTTATTTTTTTAATTAGTCAAATTATCTGATTGGGATTGATTGAAAGACAAAAATTATTGCTCAAAGGTGTACTTGTTCTTCGAAAGAGGCAGAATTGAATTTTCTTTATTATTATGTAATTTAACATCCAAATTTTATAACTACTAACATTTTAATAATAATTTATTTTGAATTATAAGTTAAAATAGCTAAAAATCTATATACGTTTAAATTGGCAGCGAAAGAACACTAGAAAAAGCGCCGACAGAGAATGAGATTACTGTAAGTTCTCTATACTGAGATATCAGTGTCATTCGTGTCAGAACTGATTAACAAATAACCCATTTTAGGTAGGACGCGCTTTAGGTGTATCAATATTAGATCTAACTGGCAACAATCCGTTCACCAGATTACCAAATTCAGAATTTCACACAATCGCCGGTCTGAGAGATTGGTTGAAGCAAATGTCGCCGGAACTAACCAGTGAATGTCGTTCTAAACCTCGAACGAAGTCTGCTATGCAATCTCAGGTAGGTAATTCAGATACAAATACGGATGAATGTTGTAAAAGCATGCCCAACGACAATGACATACCCGTTTCAATCAAGCCATGCGTTATTTGTTAATATAATTGAGTAAAACATTTTTATTACAAATTATTTTTGTAACTAAAGAATGAAAATTTAAGAAAAAAAAAGATCCCTTTATTTATTGTTTTGAGAAATTATTATTCTGCAGTTTTAATAAGATGACGTGGATAGAAGTCTGGTGACTTTAAAATAGGTTATATCAAAAGTTATGGTTGCGGATTTTGTTCGACAAGAAGAATTAAATCGTAATACGAAGGTCTTAAATTATACATTTAATAATACCGTCCAATACTGTCACATAAAAATATAAATATAAGTATTTTGTAAAACAAGTAGGTAGTATTTTGTAAAGATCAATAAACATTGTACCGTATATCTCGCGTTGTTTAGACAGGGTTATTCATTATAAATTACTCACCCTTTATCATTGTTATTTTTGTGGCTAACATCGAATTTTGTTAAAATGCCATCAAAAACACAGTGGCATGCAGATTTTACGAGATACGATAAAAAATATTAGGGATATTATTAAATTTTTAGAATTATCTTTTTCCTGATTTTAAAAATATGTATGCTATATGTTAACCGTTTCTTGTATCGTTTTGAAGTAATTAAATGTCGAATCTCTAAGCTAGACTGTAAATATGGAAAAGTTAACATTGTTAAAGGAAGCTATGAAATTGACAATTATGTTTGATAAGTGATATTTCTTTAATAAAATAATCAAACGGTTTACAATGAGGAAGAAAAATTGTAAATATTTGCCTAAAATAAAACTAGAATATTGGACATTTATTTATTCAAAAATGGATAAAAAAAATTCAATAATAACGATAATAAAGGGTGATTTATAATGAATAACCCTGTACTGTTTTCATAGGCTAATCGCAACAAATACAGTAATGCTTTAAATAGAACAGTATTGTTTTATAAGTCATCGAATTTCTATCCATTTAAATTGCGCTAAAAGAAAGTAAATAGTAGAAAGAACATTTATATAACGTTATATATTCATTATTGTTATTAATAGAAATAATATTCACGTTTTACCGTTATATGATAGAATTTACATAAATAGCATGCACTTTATTACCCTATTATAAAAATGTATACAGGGTGTCGCACATTAAGACGATAGCTTGGAGACAGTTAGGTATACATATTCGTTTAAATTGGAAAAAAGTTACCCATTCAGGGCGGTGATAATATGCTGCGAAAATATTCCACCTATCCAGAACCAGTTTCAAGTTATTTATGAAAAACAAATCTGGATTTTCGTTTTTTTGACTTCAAATTAGTTTATGGATAAAATAGTCGATCTGAAGAACAAAATATTAAAAAGCGTAATTTCAGTTTTTTCTAAATAATTCGAAAACGCACATGTGTACGTGGGAATTTTTTGCTCAATAGGACTTTTATTCCATATTTAATCAAATATGTATATCTAACTAGTTTATACGGAGGACACCTTGTATAATTGATATTAACAATATATGGACCAAATAAAATAATGTTTAAAATAACGAAAATTATATCATGTTTTTTGTAATTACAAATAGGAATTATTTGAGACGTAATTATAGGGAATTTATATGAAACAGAATCTCTAAAAATTATATAAATGTTAAATGTCTTGCCAGTCATTTCGAAATGACACGTTTTGAAACTGTGATTATATTTTTAGCAATTTTATATACCTACGTCTTAAGTGTACATGCAATTTTATTGTTAGTAAACGAGATTACTAAAATTTTATACAATGTAAGCACTTTGCGCTTTTTTATTAAATTTTTTTAACTAATTTAAATTTTTATTTCTTTTTGATTCTTATTACAGAAAGTTTTACCGAAACATACGCCTGCCAAAAAAAAAAAACATACATTGTGTATGTGCATTTTGTGTTTGTGCTTTTTTTTCTGCTTGTTTAACTTTTCGAGACCAGAAATCAAAAGTAATTATGAAATACCAAAGTATTTTTTTTTATGTAACCAGTTGCGAAAATAGACAGTTTGTAGTTCCTCTTCAATAAGAGGTAAAAAACTAAAAAGTGATCTGCATAAAAAATGTTTCTATAGTAGACCAGACCAACAAAGACCTAGATAATAGTCATATGCGTGATAACTTGTGAAGACTCTGAATTAAATCTAAACTGAAATTTAAAAAGAAGTATCCTCTCCGACATGCATGAATTTTTCCAATAACTACTTTAGAAACATTTTTGTGGATAACTCCTTATTTTGAATTGCATCTTTGGAAAATCTTTAGCAGGATTTGAATGTATTTCAAAAGGATTATCCTTCAGGTAAAGCTTAGGCAACCTGTTATAATAAGGAACCATTTTATAGTCATATAAAAAAAATCACAGCACAACCAAATTTGAAACCACCACAATTTCTAGATTTTAACCCTAAAATCTACTAAGCACCTTGAAGTTAAGGGGTCTTTCGATGGATATAAAATACATATTGTTCCTAAGGACTATTCCTAACTGGCTGTCATTTTGACACCTGTTACGATTACAAAAGATGTTAAAATTAGAAAAAGCATTATCTTGTCTCTCTTACCAAAACTTGGTATTTTAACTTAACTTATTTATACAAAAATTACTTTTGAAAATATGTTATCTGGTCTAAGTTTATGCGTTATTTTTATTTTAATTATTTTTGTTGACAGCTTCCAATTTAAGCACAAAATCCTCAATAACTTTTTAAATGAGTAAGTAATGTCATAAATCTGTGTAGATATTTTTTGATCATGCAGAAGAATTACTAATACAAATCAAATTTAAATAATAATAAAAAAACATTTTTAGCTAATATAGTTATCCAGGATTTCTTTTTTCTTAATAACTTTATAGTGTGATAAAAAGTGGTAAACTATTTCAGCATAATATATGTAAAAAACCTAATTTCAGACAATATTAAACTACTTATTTAATCTACTATTATTTTTTTGTCTAAAAATAGGCAGGAGATAAACTACACTACATATTGTTAAAAAAGATGAATATATCGCTTGTGTTGAAGTAAATAATAAATTAAGTTCGCATGTGCAGAACAAGAAATGCGCTACTGACCGGTAACACGATTTGTGACTGGCAACATTGATTCTATATCATTTCTTCTCCTGCATATACGAACGCTATTCACCTCAACATAAGCAAATTAAAAAATAACGAAAAACAAGAAAATCTTCAAACTACTCCTTTGGCTAATACCACAACAGGTCTTGGATTAATTAATTTCAACAAGCAAAGCAGGCTTGAAGGATTGATCTTGCCAGCATTGTATGTTACACCCTGAATAATTTTAAAGGTGAGGTTTTTATGAAAAAATACAAAAATAAGTCAAAAATTGTATAAAGGAGGACGTCTTGGATAAAAATAGAAGAATAAGAAAAAATAAAAAAGGAAGAGAAAGAGCGTAAACAAACGATTTACTTTATACCTCAGGAACACATTTTTTGAATCGAATAGAAAATGCAATAATTGAATCCTGAGTTAATGCTTTTCTAACTGTATAGAAATCGTTAAAATAAACAAGTGTTAAAAAACTCAAAAATAAGAAATTTAAATTAAAATGTATCCAATATGGTCCTGTAAAAATTTGTTCAAAGTTTTCATCGTTCACACAAGGTAAACCGTTCACTGTACATTCTGTACATCATTGATAAAGTAATTTGATGCGTATGCATTTTGAAGACATTAGCTATAAAAGCAACATATTATTTCCAAATTCATTTTTGTCATATAAACACTACGGAACACCCGAGTATATTACATTGACCGATGAAGTGTGTGATTCACGTTAAAAACAAAAAAAAAAGTAAAAAAGATAACTAAAACACTTCTCGCTTAACTTAATTTTTGATACAAGTCCAGGCTCGTATTTAGATTTTTTAATCCTCTATCTTTCTTATTTATGTGTTTTAAAAAAAAAGTTATTTGAAAAAGATGTTTATTTTAACGAATTCTATACAGAGGTATATTATCGATTTTCCTTAACATTTAATAAAAAGTTTCGCTTATTTATACAGCGTGGGTCACCGGTAACGCCTCGGTCTGTGAAGCCAAAACTATTTGATTTATTTAAAATCTTTTTTCACGGCAAGATGTATATCAGAAAAGATAAAAATTTAAAAATAATTTCAGTTATACCGGGTTTTCCAAGAAAGTGATACATATCAAAGTTGGGTTTTTTGAACGGAACACCCTGATTTTATTTTATATTTGAATTGCTCTCGTTTTTCCCATTATAGCAATACCAAATAGTATGAGATTATACAGGGTATTTTGATTCCAATGACCTGTTAACTGGAAAAGATACGATTGAAAATATTTTTTTTGCGATAAAAGGTTTTCGATACTCAACATTTATGTTTGTACAGGGTGAGTCAAAACTCAAATACATCATTTACTATTTTTTTTATTGACCACTATTTTATATCACCTTTTAAAACTACCTTAATTATAGTTTAACTTGAGTTAAGCATTCCCTATACCTAAAGTTAATAATTTTGGAAGAGTTTTAAATGTAAATGACCAAAAAATTATTCACAAAATAGTTTAATTTAATCAATTATTATCGACTAAAAAAGTTTGACAATTTCTAATAGGACTAACGTTCAGTTAAAAATAAATGCCAATAGCAACCAATTCTAGACTTACTCCATTATAATACCTACTTATTCTAAGTTTATTATATTTTAAGTTGACTTTGAAACCTTAATACGGATATTTCGTTATTACTAAAGCCATTTGTATTACAATATTTATTTTCGTTATATAGGCTATAATATCGAAACAATTTGAGAAAATACTTATAAAGGACTGAAACCCATCATTGAAGAAAGGAAACTTATTCCAGATTACCAGTTCGGCTTTAGAGAAAACCATTCAACTATAGATCAGGTTCATAGAATCTCAAATGCGATTGAAAATGCATTAGAAAACAAAGAAGTATGTTCAGCCATCTTCCTCGATGTTGCGCAGACGTTTGATAAAGTATGGCATGATGGCTTAAAACAAACTGAATGTGCTACTTCCACAGCTATTAGATTCTGAGCTATTAGATTCATATATTTCAGATAGAATCTTTAGAATAAAACAATATGAAGCATACTCTGAATTGAAAGAAATTTAAGCAGGAGTACCACAGGGAAGCGTCCTGGGACCCACTTTGTATCTGTTATACACTTGTGACATACCCCAACTAGAACAAGGCACAATAGCTACATTTGCAGATAATATTGCCATTCTAGCGATAGGCAAAGATCATGAAGAGGCTTCAAATAAACTACAAACATCAGTTAATCAAATAAATAATTGGACCAAAAGATGGTAACCTAGCAGCAAATTGAGAACAAATTGTAGAAAATTTTGCAAATTACTTTGGTACAGTATACACTGACTCTTCTCATATAAACAGAGTAATTTGGCCACATTTATTAACATTGTTAACATTGTTTTCTAGTGGGTTGATTTTTGATAAAATATCTAAACTTCCTAATAAAAATAGTGTAGGGCCCGACGGGATTCCAAATATTTTTCTAAAAAACTGCATTTTTTCCCTTACACCGGCTATTTACATTTTATTTAAGCAATCCATAGATACGGGTGTTTTCCCAGATATCTGGAAACACAGTTTTGTTGTCCCGATTTTTAAATCAGGAGAACGGACTGATATAAATAATTATAGAAGCGTTAGTATTCAATCTTCTTTACCTAAATTAATGGACAGCTTAATTTTTGACCAGCTTAATTTTCACTGCAAGGAACTTTTGATCAAAAACCAGTATGGCTTTTGTCAAAAAAAAAAAACACAGTTACAAATGTATTGTTATACGAACAAAATATATTAAATGTTTTAGAAGCTAAAGGGCAAGTTGACTGTTTACACACATTTCGCTAAAGAGTTTGACAGGGTTGATCATGAAATATTGTTAACGAAACTAGAGTCATTTGGTAAACCATCTCAGCTGGTCAAATGGTTTAAAAGTTTTTTGACAGGTCGAAGTCAGCAAGTTAAAATCGGTAGTAATAGATCAAGATTAATTAGGGTTTTCTCAGGTGTACCACAGGGCTCTCATTGTTCACCACTTTTATTTAATATATTAACGATATAATAGAATTCTTTAAACATTGTGAGTTCTTAATGTTCGCGGATGACCTAAAGTTATATAGACCAATTTACTCATCTAACGATCAAGTCTTCATTCAGAATGATCTCGATAACTTAATTAAATGGTGCAACCATAATAACAGTTGAATGTTAATAAATGTTGCTTTATGAGCTTTTTTAAAGGGAACAAAAAGTGCAACTTACAATATTACATTAATGATAAGCCACTATCTCGGGTTAACTCAGTCAAAGATTTAGGAGTTATTTTAGATGAACAATTAAGAATTATTGAACATATAAATTCAATCTCAATAAAATCATCCCAATACTTAGGGTTAATATTGCGTAACTCTTCTGATTTCTCTCTAGAAGCCATAAAAAGAGTTTATCAAACATTGGTTGTACCTCAGTTGGAGTATGCTCCTATAATTTTGTCGCCACAATATCATATACACTGTCTAGCAGTGGAAAGAATACAAAATAAATTTCAAATTTAATATTCGGGTAACCTATCACAATTATACTAGGATTTTAAATGAAATGAATATGAGCCGACTTAAGTACAGGAGACTTATATCAGATTTGAATTTTATCTATAGATTATTAAATGGTCTAGTCATATTCCCGGAACTCTTAGAAATGATTACTTTCAATATTCCTAATAGAGTCCTTAGGCAATTAAATATGTTCCATTTCACAATACAAACTATGGCATGCATTTACCTATTGAAAGAACATTGAGGGTAATAAATCAATTGAATCTTGAGGTTACAGGCCTTTCTTTTAATAAATTTAAGGCAATCTGTACGAATACGCTAGAGTAAAAATTTAAATATTACTCACGGATTTACAATACTTAAAATGCATTTATTAATCTAAAACTTATTTAATTTATAATTTAAAATTATCTGTATCATTTATATGTGTTTTGCTTTGTAATGGGGTTGATCCCGTTTAAATAAATAAATAAATACCCTGTATAAAATAAAATACAGGATGTTCCATTTAAAAAAACGTAACTATCACTTTCTTGGAGAATCCTGTATAATTGAAATTATTTTTAAATCGTTGCCTTTTCTGATATACATCTTGCTGTGAAAACATATTTTAAAAAAATCATAGTTTTAGACCGAGGCGTTACCGGTGGCCCACCCTGTACAATATTTTCTTTTTTGAAAATAGTACCTAGTTACTTGAATTAATAGTTACTACAGGTTATTAGTTATTTTTTAAACACAACAAATGATATTATTAATTAAAAAATTAATATTCACAAAATGAAAACTCAAATTTGATCATATTGTGCTAATTTAGGAAATATTTTTTTTTTTCGCCAACACAGGTGGCGATTGTCAAAAAGTTAAAAGAAATTCTGGAAGTACTTTAGCTATCATATCGGTGTGAGGTGTGTTTATCTGACTTTAAAATTAACGTTGGTAAGAGTTTTCTTGCTTCAGGGAAAATCATCACGATCTCTGCTCAAGAATCGGACTTCGCTGCCAAAACCGCTTTCGAGAAAAACGAAAATACGAAGCGCCCCCCCTATACCGCTGGACCGCAAAGAAAACGTACAGGCCACGTCGTCGAAATCCGGATTGAAATTTAACAAGTTCAAAGCGAAAATCCGTAAAGATATCACGTTGAAATCGAAGAATTCAACGGAAAAATCGAAAACGGGCAAAACCGTAAAGAAGGCTGCGTTGAATTCCGCTAAGAAGGCGCCGGTAGAGGTGGCACCGAATACAGAGGGAGCGGTCGTGCCGGCGGAGAAGCTCAAAGACGAGGGCGTACACCTAAAAGAAATACGATTTATTAAAAACAGTGAAGGTAAGGCGGTAATCGCGAAATACGACACCAAGGACTATGACGACAGCCTAGTCGTGGCTTGGGAAAGGAACGCCAGCAAGGGCCAACTTTTCACCCGCAGCTCGAGGGTCGCTTCCGCCACTCAATTCAATTTCGGTAATCGAATTACGTTCTCGGAACCGGGCACCAGCAGACAAATTAACGGTTTTCGAGTTCACAATTTCACAAAACCACCATCGAAAACCAAATTGCGCAAAAATTTGCGCCGTCTGGCTAGCGCCGCCGACGTACTCGGTAAAGTGGACAAGAAGAATTTGAAGAAGAAATTAAAGTCCAAATAAAAAATATAATGTTTTTGCCGTTGGATCTAATTCATTCAATGAATTACAGTTCAAAGTATTCCGAAATTTGTTAAATTTGTTACATTAAGATTTGAACCAATAAACAAAACCCGGCATTTTTTAGCATCTCATTGCTTAATGAATTTGCAGAACTAATTTCATTTTCGATTGGCTGCTAATAATAATAAGAATAATAACGATTTTATTGATACAGGCCTTAACAGAAATATAAGGAATTCTGTAGAGCAACAAAATTTTTTTTTAGATAGAAGAGTTCTTCCACTTAACCTACCGAAAATTCCCTTATACTAAATTTATATATGCATAATTACAGTGTGAGCAGGGACGTCTTTGAAAACACAAAAACACCCTGTATATCTGTGAGTAAATGCAAATATCTATATTCTGATATTTTTTAATTAATTTAAAAATATACGGGGGAAACTCTTGTAATGTCATTTAAATTATTAAAAAATTACAATTATTAAAAGGTTTCAAAACTTTGCCGTTTTACGGAATTTAGAAAACCGATGACAGAACTTTCTAGTTACTTGCAAGCAAGAATATTTTTTATTACAAAAAATATTAAACTTACAATTTCGACAGAATTTATAGAAACTGTAGAATAGCCAATCGAAAATGTTGTTAGTTTGTCCTTTGGAGATCTTGTAGTGAAGCCATATAATTGCAAGTATGTAAAACAATAAGTTTATTTTCTTATTTGTCTTTTTTTCTAGAAATGTTCTTTATTTTAATGAGTTTTCTATAAGTTTATCAATTTTTTATTCACTCTGTAAGTATATTGATAGAAGTTTTTACTGCAAATATTTGTTGTAAATGACTCTGCACTAATCTTATGAGAAATTGCTTTACTTAAGATTATTTACTACTTCCTTCTCATGTATGTTCCAGAACATTTTGTTGTCCAGGATTAGGCCTGGATATTTGACTTCTTTTTTACATTCTATATCTGTCCCGACTAATTTGACGGTTTTGAGATTGAATTTTATTTTCCTTGAAAAGGACAATAGTGTTGTTTTCGTGGGGTTTATACTCTCGCACTTCACGGCACCATATCACACAGGATATTTCCAAACTTGCAAATGTAAAATGTATTTCCACAAAAGTTGTCAGCATTTTTTTTATTTTCTTATACATTTTACATGTTCAGTAGGAAAACTTATCAAGGTCCTTGTAGTTTCTTGATACAGGGTGGTCATCTTGGAGAAAAATATTTTGTCATATATGTATTCAATTACAAACTACTTTAGTTACTTTTTCATAACTAGTTACGTTTTCATTTCGTTTACTTACGAAATAATATTTTCAGAGCTAATATACAGGGTGCTTCCCATTTAAAATAGAATATCATTTGTTTCATTTTTCAGAAGTTGTCAAATGAAATCAGTTTATTCACCATAAAAGGACATTCAAGTTTAAACAATATTAAAAATTTTAAAAACAATTATCTTAAAAAATAGTAAACACCTCAAGACTATTTATATTATTAAAAGAAGCATACCTATAGTTTAAAATTTATAAAATGACCTGGTTAACAGATTATGATACCTTCATTGTGTAGTTCAAGAATTGAGGAACTCATCAATATTGTAAAATGTGTTATTATAGAGGAAGTTAATAATGTTATTCTTTATGCTGTTCCTTGAGCCGACTAAGTCAATAAGCGTTTTCATTTTATTGAAACATTTAACCCTTATATAATTGGGAGAATTTTGAGTCTTGAGAAGGGTGCATGAATGTCATCATTATGGCGGGTATTATACGAGTGAATTTTATTGTTTAAGGTGAACTGGTTCTTATTATCATAGATATACAGTATTAATTGTAAAATATATAAAGAGTGCACTGTTAGAATTTCATATTTCTTAAATAGATTTCGGCAGCTTGCTAATGGATGAGCTCTATCTGTACATCTTGCAATTTTCTTCTGTATGATGAATGATCTATCTATATGTGAGAAGGAACCCCAATACCAACAAGCCATACTGTAACTGAGATTGTACCAGTCCGAAATATAATATTCGCAAGATGTTAATGGAAACTTTATCCCTAAGACTTCTCAAAATCAAGCAGGTGCTACTCAGCTTTGAGCATTGCTTATTGATATGAAGCTCCCACGTTAGCTTAGGATCAAGAGTTACACCTAGAAATTTCATTGATTGAGTACTTTCTATTGATTTTCCAGAAAGTTTAATTAACAAATCTTGGTCAGGAGTAATATTTTTAGATAGAAACCTCATATATAAGGTTTTCTCGTAATTTAGCTGAAGGCCATTTTCCTCACAGTATCCCGCAAATTCCATTGTGACGTTATTTTCATTTTCTACTAGGGTACTGACACATTTCTCAGACAGTGTTTTGATATGTCGTTTATAAAAATTATAAAGAATATTGGCCCAAGCAATGTGCCTTGAGGAATGCCTAATGCATTACTCTTGCATTCAGATGAAGCCCCATCAATAGCTGTTGTCTGACACCGATCCGCCAAATATGAGACTACCCAATTATGTGGCTTTCCTCTTATTCCTATACCTTCGAGTTTTATTTTTGCTTTGGTTTTTTTCATAGGGAAAGAACAATTGTAATGGTATAAAAATGTATCATAAAACAAACTGAATTTATCATGGAAAGTTGATGTTGATTCATACAATCCATCCCATTTTTCATTTCTTATTAGATGGTAGAATGTTTGAGTATTTCTGTCACTATAGTTTCTTTTATATGTAAATTTATGATCATGTTCTCCGATTTGGTACCCTTCAAATTCTACCACCTGATAAGTATGGTCAGAGAGAAAAGAGTCACGTACTTTAATTATCTCTGTTGTATGATTTGAAAATATATTATCTATACAAGTTTGGCTAGAATTTGTTACTCTTGTAGGCTCATTTATATGATGTTTGATATTGAATTCTAAAAATAAATTGATCAATTCATCCCTGGTTCTGCTTTCTATTAAAAAATCTATGTTAATATCCCCACAGGATATATTTGTCTTTATCATTAAAGTATTTATGCAAAAATATATATAAACTACATACACATGAAAGTATCAAAATTGTTACCTGTCCTATATAAACATATAATGTAAGTAAAGTATTTTGCCACTGGATCTTTTAGTTTTGACAGACATACATCGAAAGCTTGTTCTCTGGAGTGAGAAAACGAAATCGGTTGAATGTTTATGTAATCTCTTGCAATACAGACTCCTCCTCTGTCCATATTCTTGCGAGCATAATATGTTATTAACTTAAAATTATCAATATTCGCCATGTTCAATTCCTCTTTTCGTAGCCAGTGTTCACTTACACATAGTATGTCTACTTGTTCTTCATCCAATGTAATGCTTAGTGAGTCAAGTTTGTTACCAAGTCCTTGAATATTGAAGTGCATTACAATGAGATTTTCACCAAAGAATTTTTCCCGATGCACTGTATAATATGTCTTTTCGATAGGTTATCTAAGTTCTTGCCCTGACTTCGAGCAGTTTTAGCTGGGTGTACTATTGAAAATTCTCATGTCCTTGCTGGTTTTGGTTAAATTTTTGGAAGTTAAAACGCCTGAAACCTACAGATTTGGGCCAAGCTGAGGGTTAGTATAATAAATAAAATAAATCTGGCAACGCCTAATTGTCTCAATAAATTTTTTAATACAAACTATTTTCAACTACATTAAAACGTAACAATTGAAAGATTACAACATTTTTAACATAATGGTTACTTTATCAAGTGTTCAAAATGTGCTCCATTTGTGAGTTGACAGTACCTAATCGATGGTAGAATGCGTCTACCATATTTCTCCATGATTGTTTTATTTATTTAAGACCTTCCAGACTACATAAAATCATAAGTTTTACATATGATTGAAATCGTATTGAATCGTAGATTCCAATAATGGCTGAATATACAGGGTGATGAATTTGAAAAACCAAAGTTACTAATAATTAAGAGAAACGGCAAATCTGGCAACATTGCAAATATCAAATCTGGAATCTCCGTAATCCAAAATAGGTGTACTCCAAATTTTGTACAATTAGGATTAGCAATTTACGAGATAATTGGCCGTTTCCAGACTTTTGGGCCACTCCGTATATTTGTAGAAACACTGGTCTGCTCTAATTCAGCACATGCGAGAAAGCTAATATGGATTTGAGTTCAATGTCAAAAAGTTCATATTGAACATCCTGTATTATCGAAACTGTTGATGCTAGGGAGTTGCGACAATGGTGACTTTTGATCAGGAGGTCAATATACACAACTTATCTGAATTTTAAAAGAATCTCACGAAAAACGATTTCTCATAAGATTAGTGTGTGGAGTCCTTTCAAAATATCTACAAGATCTCTATATTTTTCAGGTTTATGGGTTATCTATCTGAAAAAAATCATTTTTTATTTTTATACATACATGACTTTAAAAAAATTAAACGTCTACATAAAATGCCTACTTAAAAAAACCTTCGTTCGATTTTATTTAGATATTTATAATATATATACGGTTCACATATTTTTTTTTTTAATTCGGGGTTATTGTTTATGAAAATTTGACGCATTTCAATGTGTGTATTTTGGTTATAGGTTATGTGCAAGGCGACATTAGTAAAATAATTTTTCCTCTACAAACAGCAACACCTTGTTGATAAAAAAATCCTAAATTTAACGTCATTTTTTTTAAACTCTTGAAGTATTTTGCTAAGTGGGAGACTTGTTGATTAGTCTCACTATCGTTCTGAAGAAGCTTTTTCATTAAGAATAACTCTTCACCTCATTTCAGGACATTTTATTTTCATTCTTGTTGTTTCTTGCACTAGTGGGCAAAATATTGGTGTATGTTTGCAGTTTTTCGTGGCCTTCTCTTTTGTATTACCTTTTGGACTGTTGTGATATGCAAGTTTTGATATAATGTTTGGTTTGTGACGTATCTTGGAGGGTTGACTCAAAATTAGCAGTAAAATGTCAGGTTGAAGAATAACGACAGTAC